CTTGATTTAGGTTAAAGGAGCACCACTTTTCATTTGTGGGGTTGTTTTATTTCACTACAAGTGATTCCACCAAGAAGTGTCATTCATTTCAAAATAGATTGAGGTTTATTTTTTTACTTTTAATTGTGTTTGTTTTACTATTGGTATCTAGTTTTTTAATTTGTTGCTTATTTTGTTACAGCTGCTTAACATTATGTTTTGATAAGTTGCTCGAAAGTTCCACGAAAAAATTTGGTTTAATCTTACTACATATGCCTTTTTTGTTATATTTGTTTTGAAGTTATTCTTTCTTTCATTGTGTTTCATTGAGAATGTATGGTCTTCAATTTGAGTTTTTTGACATAGGTGAAAAGAGCGTGGCTTTTCTTTCTCTTGGCTGGGGTGGGTGAAAGAAAGTGATTCATTCCCCAAGTGTTCATTTTCAATTTTGAGATCAGATTTTTCTTCCTTCATTTCAATTTTTATTTCGGTTTTGACTGCTTTAAATGTCAATGTTTAATTGTAGTCTTATTTTTACATTCTAAAAAATTGGGTCACATCTTCTTTCTTATGCCTTTTCTTCTCTACAGTTCTGGAAATGATTGGGTTTCATAGTGTCTCAACCTGAATGTATGGCCTTCAATTGTTGATTTTTGGACTTAGGTTAGAAGAACATGGCTTTTCTTACCCTGGATAAGTTTAGATGCATAAGAAACTAACTTCATTGCTAAGGGTTATTCATTCCTCACCAACTTCTTTTTGATTGTGACATTATGCTTCTTTTTAATTTCAGGATACATCTACCTGTTTATGCTTTTCCTTCTTTACCCTTTTGGATATATGATTATATATATCATAGTGTCTCAACCAAAACATATATCCTTTAATTATAGATTTTTTCTCCTGACTCAGGTTAAAAGAGCACCACTTTTTATTTACTGGGTTCTTTTTGTTCACTGCAAGTGATTCAACCAGGGATTATTCATTCCGTGACAACTCCTTTTTGATTTTGTGCTATTTCTATTTCAATTATTTTGGTTGGAATTTTGATTTCTTTTCCTTTAATTGGTGGCTTGTCTTATTGTTTTGCAGCTGGTCAGCGACGTGTCGCGATAAGTTGCCCAGCCTTCTACAAAAAAAATAGTTTACATCTACCTGCTTTTGCCTTTTCTTCTTTACCCTTTTGGGTTTGTGGATGTGTATATCTTAATGTGTCAACCAAAATGTTTGTCCTATAATTTTAGTTTTTTTTCCCCTCTGACTTAGGTTACAGGAGCACTGCTTTTCATTTGCTGTGTTCTTTTGGTTCGCGGCGAGTGACTCAACCTGGAAGTGTTATTCGTTCAAAAATAGATCGAGTTTGTTTTTTCCCCCTTTTTTTAGCTGTGTTTCATTGACTATTGGTCTCTAGGTTTTTAATTTGTTGCTTATTTTGTTACAGCTGCTTAACAAGATCTCTTGGTAAGTTGGTGGAAAGTTTCATGAAAAAGTTTCTTATCTTACTGCTTGTGCCTTTTCTGCTATATAGTTTTTGAAGTGATTCTTTATTTCATAGTGTTCGATAGAGAATGTATGGGCTGTAACTGGAGTTTTTTGTCATAGGTGAAAGGTGTGTCGCTTTTCTGTGCCTTAGTTGGTGCGGTTGAAAGAAAGCGATTCATTCCCTAAGTGTTCATTTTCGACTTTGATGTCTTATTTTTGTTACTTCATTTCAATTTTAATTGTTGTGGTTTGACTGCCTTAAATGTGGGTGTTTAATTATGGGCTGATTTTTTGTGCAGCTGCTTTCCAATGTGTTTGGGCAAGTTATTTTTACATGCTGAAAAATTGGGTTGCATCTTCTTTCTTGTGCCTTTTCTTCTTAACGCTTCTGGAAAATATTGCGTTTCTTGGTATCTCAACCTGAATGTATGGCCGTCAATTGTTAATTTTGGGCTTAGGTTTGAAGGACATGGCATTTCTTTCGCTGGATTCATTTAGGTGCATGAGAGAGTAACTTCACTGTGCCAAGGGTTATCCACTCTGCAACGGCTCCTTTTTGATTTTGTGCTGTTTTTACTTCAATTATTTTGGTGGGAATTTTGATTTCTTTTCGTTTAATTGGTGGCTTGTCTTTTTGTTTTGCAGCTGGTCAGGTGTCGCGATAAGTTGCCCAGCCTTCTACAAAAAAATAGTTTACGTCTACCTGTTTTTGCCTTTTCTTCTTTACCCTTTTGTGTTCGTGGATGTGTATATCTTAATGTGTCAACCAAAGTGTTTGTCCTATAATTTTAGTTTTTTTTTTTCCCGTCTGACTTAGGTTACAGGAGCACTTCTTTTCATTTGCTGTGTTCTTTTGGTTCGCGGCGAGTGACTCAACCCGGAAGTGTTATTCGGTCAAAGATAGATCGAGTTTGTTCCCCCCCCCCCTTTTTAGCTGTGCTTCCTTGACTATTGGTCTCTAGGTTTTTAATTTGTTGCTTATTTTGTTACAGCTGCTTAACAAGGTCTCTGGGTAAGTTGGTGGGAAGTTTCATGAAAATGTTTGGCTCAATCTTACTACTTTTGCCTTTTCTGCTATATAGTTTTTGAAGTGATTCTTTATTTCGTAGTGTTCGATAGAGAATGTATGGGCTGTAACTGGAGTTTTTTGACGTAGGTGAAAGGTGTGTCGCTTTTCTGTGCCTTGGTTGGTGCGGTTGAAAGAAAGCGATTCATTCCCTAAGTGTTCATTTTCAATTTTGATGTCTTATTTTTGTTACTTCATTTCAATTTTAATTGTTGTGGTTTGACTGCGTTAGATGTCGGTGTTTAATTATGGGCTGTTTTTTTGTGCAGCTGCTTTCCAATGTGTCTGGGCAAGTTATTTTTACATTCTGAAAAATTGGGTTACATCTTTCTTGTTCCTTTTCTTCTTTGCGCTTCTGGAAAAGATTGCGTTTCTTGGTATTTCAACCTGAATGTGTGGCCTTCAATTGTTAATTTTGGGCTTAGGTTCGAAGGACGTGGCATTTCTTTCGTGGATTCATTTAGGTGCATGAGAAAGTAACTTCACTGCCAAGGGTTAACCACTCCGCTGCAGCTCCTTTTTGATTTTGTGCCGTTTTTATTTCAATTATTTTGGTCAGAATTTTGATTTCTTTGCGTTTAATTGGTGGCTTGTCTTATTGTTTTGCAGCTGGTCAGCGACGTGTCGCGATAAGTTGCCCAGCCTTCTACAAAAAAATAGTTTACATCTACCTGTTTTTGCGTTTTCTTCTTTACCCTTTTTTGCTTTATAGTGTGTGTTGATATGTTGCGTGAAAGTTTCACTGTAAAATTTGGTTCAATCTTAATACTTTTGCCTTTTCTGCTAAATACTTTTTGAAATTATTCTTTCTTTCATAGTATTTCATCGAGATGTATGGTCTTTAACTGGAGTTTTTTGACGTTGGTGAAACGAGCGGCTTTTCTTCACCTTGGTGTGGGTGAAAGAAAGTGATTCATTTCCCAGGTGTTCTTTTTCAATTTTGATATCTGATTTTTGTTCCCTGATTTTAATTTTAATTGTTTTGGGTTGACTGCTTTAAATGTCGACGTTTAATTGTAGGCTTATTTTCACATTCTGAAAAATTGGGTTACATCTTCTTGCTTATGGGCTTCAATTGTTGATTTTGGGCTTAGGTTAGAAGAACATGGCTTTTCTTTCCCTGGATTCATTTGGGTGCATAAGACAGTAACTTCACTGCCAAGGGTTATTCATTCTTCAACAACTCCTTTTTGATTTTAAGCTTTTTTTATTTCAATTATTTTGTGGGAATTTTGATTTCTTTGCATTTAATTGGTGGCTTGGCTTATTCTTTTGCAACTGGTTAACCACGTGTTACGATATGTCGCCTAGTCTTTCTCAAAAAAATTGGTCACGTCACCCTGCTTATGCTTTTTCTTCTGTAACTTTTTGGATATATGATTATGTATGTCATAATTTCTTTTTCTTTTTTTTTTTTGCATTTTAAGTTGTGTCATTTTAAGTTGAATTTTGATTTCTTTGCATTTAATTGGTGGCTTGGGTTATTCTTCTGCAACTGGTTAACCACGTGTCACGATATGTTACCTAGTCTTTCTCAAAAAAATAGGTTACATTTACCTGCTTATGCTTTCTCTTCCGCAACTTTTTGGATATATGATTATGTATGTCATAATGTGTCAACCAAAATGTATATCCTTTAATTCCTGATTTCTTTCCCTTAGGTTAATATAGATTTTTTTTTCTTTTTTGCATTTTAAGTTGTGACGGTTTGGCTATTGGTTTTTTAATTTGTTGTGTATTTTATTGCATCTACTTAACAATATATCTTTAGAAGTTGCTTGATAGTTGTAGGAAAAAATTTTGGTCAATCTTATTGCTTAGCCCTTTCTGCTAACTTTTTTTTTTTTTTTGAAATTATTGTTTCTTTCGTTGTGTATCATCAAGGAATATATTGCCTTTCATAGGAGGATTTTGATGTAGGTGAAAAGAGCGTCGAGGGTTTCTCATTCCCCAATGGTTCTATTTCTGTTTCGAGAATTATATTTAGCCTACTTTGAATTTCGATTGTTATTGTTTGACTGTTGCAAATGTCGGTGTTCAATTGGATGCTTATTTTGTTGCAACTTGTTTTCGATTTGTCTCAATAAATTGCCTTGAGTTGCTGACACAATTTGGTTACATCTATGATTTGTATTCTGATCATTTTTGGAAAAGATTGTGCTTCATAGTATCTCATCCATAATGTATGGCTTGACTGGAGATTTTTTGATGTAGATGACACAACCATTTATTTTCTTTAGCTGGGTTATTTCAGTGTAAGGGAATTGATGCCACTTAGAAGGGTTACTTTCTCATCAAGAGCATCTTTTTTCTTATTTTAGTTGAAGCGTATTGATAGGTTGCGTAGATTTTCCTAAAAAAATTGGTTACATTTTCTTGCTTAATGCTTTCTTCTACACGTTCTCGAAAATTATTCTACAGTTTATAGTGTCTCATCTAGAATGTACGCTTTTTATTGTAGTTTTCTGACTTAGGTGGGAAGAGCATGGCTTTTCATTCCCTGCATTATTTTGGGTGAAAGGAAGTGAGTGCCTTGAAGGGTTAGTCAGACTCCAACAGCTCCATTTAGATGCCAACTTTTTTTTTAGCTATTTAATTTTTTTTCACGTTTTGTAATGACATTAAATTTTTAAATAAATTGATTTTTTTTTCAATTGATATTTTATTTAAATTAGTTTTCTTTAGAGTATCACCAATGAAGGGTGTTATGCAATTTGGGAAGAAAGGCAAGCTTAGTCTGAGATATATCGATTCATTTGAAATAGATAAGGTGGGTGTTGTTGCATATTGCGTCGCCTTACCACTGATATTAGATAGCACTCATTTTGTGTTTCATGTGTCAATGCTGTGAAAGTATTTATATGATCTTTTTCATGTTATTAAAATTCAAGGAATTCAAGTGAATAAAGACTTGTCTTATGAAGAAGTTTCATGAGCTATTCCTGGCAAAGCAAATAAAGAAATTAAGATTGAAGGAGTTCGTCTCTGTAAAGGTGTTATGGTGTAATCACTCTATTGAAAAAGCTACTTTAAAAGTAGAAAGTGAAATGTGATAGAAATATCTGCATTTATTAAAAAATAGAAAGTTTATTAAATTAAAGTAAGTATTCATTCAGATGGTTAAATTTTCTAAGGATTTTAAATTTTTAAATAAATTAAAGTTTTTTAATTAATATTTTATTTAAATTAGTTTTATAATAAATAGAGAGTGATAATTTAAGTAAAATTTATATTAATAACTTTTTTAAAGATTCGAAATTTGAATTCTACTCAATAAAAAATTTGGTTTTAATCTTTTTAAGTTGTGGAAAAATGAAAAATTGTGTGTTTATTTTTGTAATTTTTTATGGACAATTTCTTGTAAATTTTCCAATTCTCCTTTGAATCAGATATTTCTTATTCGAAGCTCAGATCAGCGAAGAACGGAGGGCGAGAGCGAGGGGTCCATCCACGCCATTGGCTGCTGTGGAGGTTGAGTCACCGAAAAATCATCCCCTATCGTCATCCTCTGCTCCTTTCTTGTTTGGCGTTGGCGTGTGTATGTGTGTCATCTTCAACTTCTCTTCCTCCTCAGTTCTAGCTGTTACACGTGCATATGGTAAGATGCTTGTTTCTTTTCTCTTTTGATTGAAGATCTGTCATTTTTCCTTGTCTCTTGCTGCCTTCGATTTCTGCTCAGCGTGGAGTGAAGTGTGCTTGTTCTTTGTCTCTTCTTCATCCTCAGCTGCTGGAATTAATTCTTGCCGTCTTTTGGGTGGTGGCTGTCATAACTTTCGGAGATGATGCTGAAATTCCATCTAAATGTTCCAGCTGGGTTTTGTTGGAGAAAAAGGAAATTGAATTTCTTTATTGTGTAAATAGTGAACGAAGAAGTTTGTTGAATGATTATGTGTGTTAGAATTTTTAATTGAAGCTTCTAAATTTGGTTGCTGCCAACTATAATTTAAATGGTTAATTTGGGATTTAGTTTGAGATATTGTATTATTGATGATACTTAAGCAGTGTATGGAAGTTGATTTAGGAATTAAATGATGAGAATAAGAGGTTGGGATATATGGAAATTGATTATGTGATGAGTAAATAGAAATGTTTTCAAGAGGTTTATCTAAATGCTTAAAAGAATGATAAGGTTGATTTATTGATATGGTTACATTTCAGTTTATTGATAGGAAAAGAGAAATTTATATTTTGAGTTAAAAGTTTATATTATTGTTGAGAAAGCTTTAAGAAATTATATTTAAACAGAAGGGTGTGGTGGTTAGTTTTAAATTAAAATGCTCGTTTTTTGATGACTTGAAAATTACTTGATAAATGATTATATAATTATGATTTATTAGTCAGGAAATGAAGAACATCATTAGAATTAAAAAAAAAAAAAGAGAAGCAAGTTTAAAATTCTTGAAAAACTTTCAAGTGAGTGGTAGTGTCTCAAATAATTTCTTGCAAATTATTTATAAAATTTTTTTATTTAAATTTTTATAACATTTTTTTGTGAGTTGTATAAATATTCTTGTCAATTTTATTTGTATGATTTATATAATTCTTTTTAGTTACCGCATTTTTATATTAATTAGTTTATTATAACTTTGCTTTATTTTTATTAAGAATTATGCTGTTATTAAAGAATAATTGGATCTGGTCCATTATTTAAACATTTTTATTTAAGTTTTATAATTCATATGACAGTTGTTAATACGATGATTCGTGTATAGTAAACAATGAAAAAAAAAAATTCAATGAATATTTCAAACTCATGCACGCTTGATTTATTTAGGAGGATTGAGTTCAGAATGCTGAATGTTCTATTAGCTCTTGGCATATTATGGTACACCTAGCTAGCAGGGTATATTAAAGGTGCTAGTCCCGTGTGCTGGTCAATACATGTGGAATGATGGATATAGTTTTGTGGATATAATCTATGCCTGTTATTCGTGGCTTTTTGCCACGCTGGATATGCTACTTACCCTCATCGACTGTGTGTTCACGCCTATTAATCATTATAATTAAGCCCTATTAAAGAAGGGATTTTGAAACTTTTCTTTAAATTTGATTCTAGGAAGCAGATTGTTGTATTTTTTTTTTTTACTGTATGTGAATTTTAGAGTAATATATATATATATATATATCCCAAGATGTTTAAACATGTGTAGAAATTTAATAATTTAGAATTTGAATTTTAAAAATTTCATTTGTATTTATGTTTTTTTAGTTTATATTATTTTCAATTGCTTATTTTAATTAATTTATAATTGGCTCATTGGTTGTTTTCAATTGTTTCCTTCAACTATTAATTGGGACGCTGCTCATCAAAAAAATTTTCTTTTGTCTTAGATATTAAAATTTACCTTGCACCTCCTACTGATTATTAAGGGATACAATTATTTTTTTGAAATTATGGATGTGTTAGTTACTTTTGGTATAAATATATTTTATATTACGAAATTGTCACTTAGTGCTCTACAAGTATTGTAGTTAGATCTTACTCTTATTTTGTTATTGTGAAATATGTTGTGTAGAGCTAAGCTTTTTTTTGGTTTGGCTGACAAGTTTTACTACTGTAAAAATTTTGTGTAGGTTCAAGTTATAGGAGAGACTTTGTCAAAATTTTTACAAAATATTTAAGATTTTACAAATTTTATAAATATATATGAAAACTATATATAGATAATTTAGCTTAACTTTTGATTAATTAAGGCTTATGAAATGTGAGATCATTTCATATTCCGTGCCTGTCATATATTTAGCATTGGGTGTGACACATTTGGCATCTGAGTGTTTAATATGTTGCTTATTTTGTTGCATCTTGTTAGGAATCTTAATGAGTTACCTAGAGTTACACAAAACAGTTTGTCTTTCTTGTGCCTTTTCTTCTATGCGCCTCTTGATTTTTTTCTGTAAGCCTTATAACACTATGTAGTCTTCCATAATTGTTTCGTCTCGACTGTATGCCCTCGATTTAGAGTTTTTTTTTGACATAGGCAACTGGGTTGGTGTGGGTGAAAGAAAGTGATTCATTCCCCAAGGGTTCATTTCTGATTTCGAGAGATGATTTTTGTTCATTTATTTCAATTTTAATTGTTGTTGTTTGACTTTTTTAGAAGGTGGTGTTTCATTGTAGGCTTATGTCTTGCTGCTGCTTTCCAATGTCTTGATAAGTTATTACATTTTGAAAACTTTGGTTACATCTTTGCTCATGCCTTTCCTTCTCGACACTTTTGGAAATGATTGTGTTTCATGTGAATGTATGACCTTCAATTGTTGATTTTGGGCTTAGGTAAGAAGAACATGGCTCTTCTTTCCCTGGATTCATTTAGGTGCATAAGAAAGTAACTCCATTACGAAGGGTTATTCACTCCCCAAAAACTCCTTTGTGATTTCATTCCCCAACAACTCCTTTTTGATTTTAAGTTTTTTTATTTCAATTATTTTGGCGCAACGTTTGATGTCTTTGCATTTAGTTGGTAGCCAACGTGTCCTAATAAGTTTCTTAGTCTTCCACAAAAAAATTGGTCACATCTACCTGCTTATGCTTTTTGTTTTCTATACCCTTTTGGTTATATGATTATATATACTATATTGTCTGAACTAAATAAAATGTATAGCCTTTAATTTGAGTATTTTTTTGGAAAATTTTTTTCCTGACATAGGTGAAAAGAGCTCTACTTTTCATTTGCCACGTTCTTTTGGTTGAGGAGTGATTCCTCCTAGAAGTGTCTTTCATTCTAAAATAGTTTTTCTTGATTTCACTTTCAATTGTATTGTTTTTACTAATGGTATGTTGGTTTTTAATTTATGACTTATCTTGTTGCAGCTGGGTTAACAATGGGTTTTGATAACTTTGCCGATAGTTTCACAAAAAATTTGGTTCCATCCTATTGCTTATGCCTTTTTGGCTGTACATTTTTTGAAACTACTCTTTCTATCATAGAATTTCATCGAGTATGTAATGTATGGTGTGGGTGTTTAATGGGGGCTTATTTTGTTGCAGCTTGTTTTCAATGTGTTTCAATAAGTTGCCCTGAGTTGCAAAAAAATTTGGTTATTTCTACTGGTTATGCTTTTTATTCTGAACTTTTTTGGAAATGACTGTGCTTCTTGGTTTCTCATCCATAATGTATGGCTTAATTGGAGATTTTTTGACATAGGTGACATGGCATCTCTTTTCTTTAGCTGGGTTCTTTCGGTGTAAAGGAATTGATGCCCCTTTGAAGGGTTACTGCTGGTTAACGTGTCCCGATAAGTTGCCTAGTCTTCCACAAAAAGCTCGATAACATCTACCTGCTTATGCCTTCTATACCCTTTTGGATATGGTTATACATATCATAATGTCTCCACCCAAATTTATAGCCTTTAATTTGAGTTTTTTTTTCCTTACTTAGGTTGATAGAGCACCACTTTTCATTTGCAGTGTTCTTTTGGTCCAATGGAAATGATTACCAAGAAGTGTCTTCCATTCCAAAATAGATCGAGTTTTCTTTGTCATTTTCAATTGTATTGGTTTGACTATTGGTATCTAGGTTTTTAATTTGTTGCTTATTTTGTTGCAGCTGCTTAACACATTGTCTTGATAAGTTGCACGAAAAAAATATGTTCAATCTTACTACTAACGTGCTTTTTTTGCTGTATATCTTTCATAGTGTTTCATCGAGAATATATGGCCTTTAATAGTAGTTTTTTGATAGGTGAGAAGAGCATGGCTTTTCTGTCCCTTTGTTCATGTAGGTGTAAGAAAGTGATTCCACTAAGGAGGGCTACTTATTCCCCAATGGCTCTATTTCTATTTCGAGAGTTATTTTTTCCCTTACTTTGAATTTCGATTGTTCGCTTGACTGTTACAAATGTCGGTGTTTAATTAGAGAATTTTGTCTCGATAAGTTTCTTCAAGTTACAGAAAAAAATTTGTTACATCTACTTATTATGCTTCTTATTCTAAACATTATTGGAAATGAATGCTTCAGTGTCTCTTCCATGATGTATGACTTAACTTGTTATAATTTTATAATGTTGACATTAGTTAGTTAGGGTGATTTAGACGTTAGGTTAGCCGTTGGGTTCCTATAAGTCCTTATATAAAATCCCTGACGTCTGAATATAAAGGCATAATAGATTAATAAACTCAGTTCTCAGTATCTCTTTTCTCTCTTTCTCTTCAATCTCTTGTCTCTCATCTTCTCTAAACCTCCATATGTTCTCCTCTCCTCCTATTCTCTTTCTACATCTATTCTATTTTGTTCTACTATTGCAAACATATAATAGTGGTATCAAAGTCAGTCATCCTCAGCCATGGCACACCATTCATTCCAGGAATATGAGGATGACCACCAGATGTGGCTTCGTCAATAAAGGAGTGTGAAAGAATTCAATAAATTCTTTAATAGCTATATAAATGGATTCAGATTGCAAGAAAAATATTTAGTTTCTGTGTATGTGGCTGGGCTTAAACCAGAACTTGTAGAATCAATGTGTTTGTTCAAACCAAGAATGATGCAAGATGCGAGAAGTCTTGCAAGAATGAAAGAAATTATGCTAATGTGTCAGATAGAAAAGAAGGCACAGGCACTTCAAGATAATTATTGATCACAAGAGTTTTTGGAGAAGGATGAAGTAAGTACACCTCTGCAAGATTGTGGGAATCAGCAAGTCAAGAATGGTGTTCAAAATCAAGAGGATTCCGTAACTATAACAAGGGAAGTTGAAGTTAGGTCTTCCTTACCAGTGCAAGAACTGTAAGATGATTGCAGTGATTTCAAGAAGGTTTCTTTATGCGAGTTGGAAGGTAAAGTAGGCTCAATCATCTCTAAACATAACTCCTTAAGCTCTTTGGCTATTGGTGTGGGTAAAACTATCAGTCTTGACTTCAGTTTGGGTACCCAACATTGTTCAAAACATTAATGTTGCCCATTTATAGAGCCACGCCACTCTTTGTTCTAACTTTCTCTTCGTCTTTGTTTCTAATCAACCCATCGTTACCTATTTACATTTTTCTGCCGCCACCACA